TTGTGTGTTTGGTCCCTAACTTATTTTTTTAACTCGGAAGGTCCCTACTGATTGTTTTTATTACGTGTTTGGTCTTTATTGTTTGTTTTTGTTACGCGTTTGGTCCCTATCATACCTAAAAAGACTATTATTTAAATAGGAAAAAATGTACGTAAGGTAAGGTGAGAAGGGTGAGATTAGGGGTGTATTTATTTAAATAAATTAAAAAATAAAGGGAAAAATAGACTTTTTATGTAAGACAGGGACCAAGCACGTAACAAAAACAAACAGTAGGGACCTTCTGAGTTAAAAAAAATAAGTTAGGGACCAAACGCGCAAATTACTTTAAACCATAGGGACCATTCGTGTAGTTTACTCTTGTTTATTTAAATTTAAAAGATTTAAAAAATCAATTTAAATAATTCATTATTTTTCTTATTTTGTTATAAATACAAAGTTCTTAAATATTTAGACATTTATATTTTTTTTAATTAACTCATGTAATACATGAGTTTTACACATAGTATTGCATTGTAGGTCCTTGCACTATATAAAAAGACAAAATAACACTTTTTTTGTTTTTCTTTTCATAGTTTATATATATATATATATATATATATATATGGATAAATTATAGATTTTATTTGATCTTTACTTTAATATAATTAATATAAATTATTTAATATAATCAATATAAATTATTTAATAAAGTATATAAAATCATATTATTATTTATTCCTAGATTTATTTATTTATTTATTTTTTTGTTGTTTAATTTTTTTTAATATTTTTAATATTTTATTTGAATATATCATTTGATTTTGTTTTTTAAATATTTTGTTTGTTTACATTATATAATGATTTTTTTTATGTTTTGTTCGAATAAACAAATTAAAATACTAACCCGGATATTTTTGACATTTTATTTGAATATATTATTTGATGTTTTTTTTATGTTTGTTCGTTTACATGATATAATGATTTTCATATATTTTTTGCTCGAATAAACAAATTAAAATAATAACCCAAATAATTATTAATCATCTAATATAATCATTTAATGTTGTTTTTATGTGTTTTTTATTACATCATTCACTTATGTGTTAGTGTTGTTTTATTCAATTTTAAGAGGTTTTATGGTTTTTATATGTTTTTCGTTTACATCTGTTATATATTAGTCTTTCTTCGTTTATTGTGTAAGTAACTTTATTTTTTTGTATAACTATTTTCGGAAAAAAAAAACAAAGCAAAACTATTCAATATATATATATATATATATATATATATATATATATATATATATATATATATATATATATGGTTAGGTTCATGTAAGACGGTTTAATTTTGTGAGACTAAGAGACATAATCATAGACATTCATTTTATAGATAAAAAATATATTTTTAAAATACAAAATAACATAAAATTTTCAACCAAAAAAAATCAAATATTATTTTTGTAACAACCCGAATCCCCAGGTATCTTTACTTTCATATTTTTGATATTTTGTGAGGAGACTCGGCGAGTTGGAGGTCGAACTCGCCGAGTCGGGTCGCGGTTTTGGGCGGAGGTTCGCGTCCGGACTCGGCGAGTCCAAGGGATGGACTCGGCGAGTCCGCACTGTTTAATGAAACCCTAATTTCCCGGTCCTAAGCCCTATTTAAAGGACCTTATGGCCTTCATTTGCGGCCACCTTGAACCCTAAGAGCACCCATACGACTGTGAGCGCTTGTGAGTGTGTTAAGAGGCCATTTGTTCATCATTTTGTGTATTATTGCAAGAAAAGAGGGAGAAGATCAAGCTTGAAGAGTTGGGGAGCTTGGATCCGCTTCTATTTCATCAAGGGAACCTTCTTGAGGTAACTTTCAGAGCTAAACTTCGTATTTTGGGTTGATGTGTCAAATCTAGGGTTTCTTCTTGCCTTATTTGGCTTAAATTGGAAGTATGAAAGGTCCCATGGAGATATGGAACCTAGATCTGGACCTTAGCAGGTCCAGGAGGCCCCATATGACAAGCTTTATGTCCATTCTTTTGAGTTAGAAGCTATGGTTGCCATATTAGAAGTTATTTCTCCAAAATGAGCCTTGTATGCGTTGCATGGCGACCAAGACTGAGACTTTACGTGATAAATAAGCTTGGGAAGGCCAGATCTATGTATGTATGGAACGGATCTGACCGCAAAAGCTAGTTTTAGCTGGTGCATGGCATGGACTCGTCGAGTCTGAAGAACAGACTCGACGAGTCGCTTGAAGATTGTCCTTGAGACCACCCAGTGTGTAGTCCTGACCGAGTTGTGGGTGACTCAGTGAGTCGCAGAGAGTTAGAAAGGTTTTGACAGGTGGACCGAGTCAAGTTGGGACTCGCCGAGTTATCCTTGCGACTCGGCGAGTTGAGTCGCGGTGGCCCCGTGATTTAGGCCCAGGTGGAACTCGTCGAGTCGGGGGAGTACTCGACGAGTCAAAGGGAAAATCCTTGTGAGTTGGTTAAAACGCGTAGACTCGCCGAGTCACTATAGTGCACTCGCCGAGTCCGGTCCAATTGACCAAAGACTGTTGACCAAGTCAACCTGTGTTGACTTGATATGGATGGTCAACCTTAGTGGTACAAGTAATAATTATAGATTCATGATATCATAGGAGGATTACAGCTCGAGGGTTCGAGCACGAGTGATTCCAGGGTTCACGATTAGCGAGGCATACGAGGTGAGTCTTCTCACTATACTGTACCCGGAAGGGTTTGACTGTGTGACCGGAAGGTCGAATATGATATGAGATAAATGCCTTATGTGCGTTAAGTTATTCGTTATATGTTCCATGTATGATATGCTTGATTTGGGCCGGAAGGCAACATGTTATGGGCCGGAAGGCGTGGTCATATGGACTGTAAGGTTGACGTGGGTAGGACCGGAAGGTTTACCCAGTCGGGACAGAAGTCCCCTGAGACACATGGACCGGAAGGTCAAGGCCTGGAAAGGCGTACGTGCGTAGGTTGTATTTTGGGGAACTCACTAAGCATTTATGCTTACAGTTGTTGTGTTATGTGTTTCAGGTACTAGCGAGGACCGTGGGAAGGCGCCGACGTGATCGTACACACACTCGGGGAAACCATTTTGTGATCTTTTGTTATGTAATCGGTCGTGACTAAATTGTTACATTGGAACCTAAACTTATTACTCAATGTTTTGATGATTGTAAAAATGAAAAAATTTTGGTTTCGGAATTTATGGCATTACAATTTTCGTCATTTATATTTTCCAAAAAAGTACCAAAAAATTAAATAATAAATAAATAAATACCGTTTTTTTACATATTCTAGTAAAATATTAGAATATTTTACATATCTGACAAATCTAGTAGAATATTCTAACATTCTAAATATGACATTAGAATATTTACAGTGTAATATGCTATTAAAATATTTCACGTACTTAAAAAAATGGTAATTTTCTAGGTAAAAAATGTGACGAAAATAGTAATTAAAAAAAGAATTTTTGGATTTTTCTTTTATTTTGCATTATAAAATTATTTTTAGATTGCATCTCACGGTCTCACAAAATTAGTATGACCTCAAATAAACCTGAACAATATATATATATATATATATATATATATATATATATATATATATATATATATATATATATATATATATATATATATATATATATATATATATATATATCGTTAAAAGAACAAGAAAAAAAGCGAACATTTAATAATCATATTGGAGGTTTGATAGTTATCCGAGTTATTTTAATTTATTTATTTGAATAAAATTTAAAAAAAAATAATTATATAATGTAAACGAAAAAAAAAACATTAAATATTATATTCAAATAAAACGTTAAAAATATTAAACAATTTTGAAACCACAAAAACAAAGACAGATAAATAAAACAAATAATAATAATAATAATAATAATAATAATAATAATAATAATAATAATAACAACAACAACAATAAAAATAAAATAAATAAAATAAAAAGGTAATTTTGTCTTTTTATGTTAAGCAATAACCGCAGTGCAATATTCAAAAACTATAGAGATACTTTTATATCACTCATAGTAGCTAGGTCTGGCAAAGCGAGTTTTGATCATGATCCGATCTAAACCGTTAACAATTATACGGATTTTGAGCATAGTTTTTTATCTGGTTACCTGTTAACATCCCGTATGTGCTAACCTTTTTATTAAAAAGGTCAGTATTGATCATCATCGATTCGCTCCGTTTATAACCCACCCCCTATAAATTTTGGAATTTTATATTTATATTTTATCCTGCCCAAAGTTTACTTTTAATTCAAATCAAAAGTCCAAAGAAAAAAGACCAAAAACTAAACTATTTTTACATAGGTCTCAAGGACTTGATTTCTATACTTCCAATCTTCTACTAAGAATCTGATTTCTATACTTCCAATCTTCTACTAAGAATCATTATGTCATTCATTTGTATTTGATCAAGCAATCTAACAATTTCATTTGTATATCAACATGATTTATCAACCGAAAGAAGGATTGTAATTGTTATTCTTTATCAATGCAATGACGGTCAAAAATCAATCAAAAGTTACTACAATAATGATTTTAATTCTAATCGAAAATCCTCAAGTATGTAATGTGTTTTCTAAATCAGCATTTGTTTCCTTTGATAAATGTTAGTTTAAGATTTACAAAAAATATATTTGATTATTCAAAAAACCTACTGGTTACGGGGTACGAAGCAGGTTTGGATATATGTTGATTCGGTGGATAAGGGTATGTCTTTGATTATTCGAAACCCAACGGATTACAGAGCGGGTAAGTATTGGATTTGGAAATTTGTTAAAAGAGTTTGGATCAAGGTCGATTCGCTCCAAGCCCATCCCATTCCCAGGTCTAATAGTAGCAACATACAAACATTCTCAACATGTAATAGCAACATACTTAAACTTCTTTACTAATAATAGCAATATATAATCAAACACATGTAAGCATTTTATAAGTTTCAGGTTACATATTGCTATTATCCACATTGACACCTTAACGCAATCCAAATATCTCTTCTGGGGGATCATAAATACTCTGATCAGGAAAAATCTCCTCAAAGTCTTGTTTGACTTTATTCCTCAAAAGGGGATGTGGGAGAAGCCCCTTGAGTAGGATTCTAAATGGCAACTCATCTGGTGGGTCCGGAGACTGTTTCATATCCTCATAGATGTTCATTGCATCTCCAGGAGATCCAAATCTCAAAAACCCACGAATCACTTCTGTGTATGTTTGAGAATCAGGGAATAAATTTTCCTTCTTCATGCTTTCCCATAGCTTCATGGCCTCATCCATCTTTTTAGATTTAGATAATGAGATTATCAAGTCTTTGTACAGATATACATCAGGCTGATACCAATCTTGCTTTTGAATCACCCAAAACATCTGAAAAAAAAAATCCATAAATAATATTTGGAAAAACTAAATGTGATGGAATTGATTGATTAAGGGAGAGTGAGAAAAAGAGTAAAACCTTGACAGCTAGATCCACTTCCTCCTGGCGTTCAAGCTCATTGAGAACAGCAACCATGTCCATCTTTAAGAGCCTTGAAACATGAGTTTTAACAAACTTGTCTAGTTTTTCTTCATCATCTTTGACTCTTTTTAACCCCAAAATAACAAAAAGAGCTTCTTTACCAATCATTTTCTTTCCTCTCCAAAGGGAGCCTCTAGGCCTGCCATCATGGTAATGGCGAGGCCTGAAACATGTATGAAGCTGGTGTTGGCAATGGCAGATATTGTAAAGAGTTTTGGTTGTGTGATTGAATGCTAATGGTGATGTGGGAGTAGGATAAGAAGAATAAAAAGAGATGAAGTGTTTCAATATGGGTATTCTCATTATGTCATGATGGAGAAATGAGGAGACAGATGACCTTAGTTTTGACCTCAATGGACCTCCAATGGCTGCCATTGCAGTTGCTGAGAAAACCAACACCTGCTGTCCAAAAGGAAGTATTTAAACTATGACAAACTTGGAAGATTTACAAAAGGGATACTTCTGGTAAGGGTAAACATCAGACTACTTTTTGTTATGTCAAATAATCCAATTATGCATATTAATCAATCAATAACGATCAAGAGCAAGAACAAAGTGAGAATTCGATCACTTCTCACTATCTCATTGGTAAGTATGGAAGTATGGTTTAGATGCATTCAGAACCAAAAAAGACTCGATTCTTTACAACAAAAAAGCATCCCGAAATCACATCCACTACAAATCAAGTTCGACTAATAAAACTATTGAAGAGAAAGAAAGGGATTTTTTTTTCAGATTCTGATATCATGATATCAGAGAGTTCACATTAGCGATTGAAGAAAAAAAAGCCTCCATCGATGTCACGGTAGCTCTGTTTGGGGTCGACTTCAGAGGGGGTTGTTTGGTTCGAATGTATAAAATGCGATTACAGAGAGAGAGAGAGAGAGAGAGATTACCTGATATGAAGCTGCCTGAATGACCCTGTGACGGAAGTGGAGAAGACGCAATGGAGAGATTGTCTCTGAACGAGAATGAGATGATATCTAGGTTTACCAGATGAAGCATAATGCCTATGGTAATATTTAGTTAGGGCAAAATCGTAATCTGCTTTCCATTAGGATGGTTTTTGGAAAAATATTTCATTTCATTTAGGAATGAACTTTCATTGGATGGTTTTTGGAAAAATATGGGGAAAACTACAATAAAGTTCCTACATATTGGCCTCATAATCGATTTAGTCCCTATATATTTTTTTTATTCAATTAAGTCCCAAATACCGGTAATCGTATTCAATTTAATCCTTTGACCCGGTCAACAGGTCATCCAACTTTCAAAAATTACATTTTTGGCCCAGATTTCAAAATTTATTACAAATTTGGTCCAAATTTTACACTTTTGGCCCGGATTTTAATTTTTTTTTACAAATTTGGTCCAAACTTTACCTTTTTTGCTCAAATTTTAGAATTTTATTATGAATTCATCCTAATTTTAGTTTTTTTGCAACTTTTTTTTTTTCAAAAAATTGTTTCTAATATGTTTTTTCTTTATAAAATCATATTTATACCAAAAAAATGTATTTTCACATAAAAATCTTATATTTTCTATATAAAACTTTTTTTAAAAAGTTTTTTGTATATGAAATATCTAGTTATAAAAATATGTATTTATTTAGTATATAAATATATATAAATTTGTTTTTATAAAAAAATGTATACACACCTATCACCTTTATATATATATATATATATATATATATATATATATATATATATATATATATATATATATATATATATATATATGCACACAAATAGGTGTGTATCTATATTTTTTTTATAAAATCGTGTTTGTTTATATTTTTTTTATAAAAACGTGTTTGAATAATTTTTTATATAATACGTGTTCGTATACATTTTATAAAAACGTGTTTAAAAAGTTTTTATATAATACGTGTTTGTATATATTTTATAAAATCGTGTTTGTATACATTTTATAAAATGTATACAAACACGTATTATATAAAAAAAATATTCAAACATGTTTTTATAAAAAAATATAAACAAAAACGATTTTATAAAAAAAATAGATAAAATAGGTGTTTGTATACATTTTTTTTCATAAAAACGGATTTCTATATATTTATATACTTAATAAATACTTATTTTTATAACCAAATATTTCATATACAAAAAACTTTTTGAAGAAAGTTTTTTTATAACTAAATATTTCATATACAAACACGATTTAATAAAAAAAATATAGATACACACCTATTTGTGTGCATATATATATATATATATATATATATATATATATATATATATATATATATAAGGTGATAGGTGTGTGTACATTTTTTTATAAAAACAAATTTATATATATTTATATACTAAATAAATACATATTTTTATAACTAGATATTTCATATACAAAAAACTTTTTAAAAAAAGTTTTATATAGAAAATATAAGATTTTTATGTGAAAATACATTTTTTTTGGTATAAATATGATTTTATAAAGAAAAAACATATTAGAAACAATTTTTTGAAAAAAAAAGTTGCAAAAAAACTAAAATTAGGATGAATTCATAATAAAATTCTAAAATTTGGGCAAAAAAGGTAAAGTTTGGACCAAATTTGTAAAAAAAAATTAAAATCCGGGCCAAAAGTGTAAATTTTGGATCAAATTTGTAATAAATTTTGAAATCTGGGCCAAAAATGTAATTTTTGAAAGTTGGATGACCTGTTGACCGGGTCAAAGGATTAAATTGAATACGATTACCGGTATTTGGGACTTAATTGAATAAAAAAAATATATAGGGACTAAATCGATTATGAGGCCAATATGTAGGGATTTTATTGTAGTTTTCCCAAAAATATTGGAATCCTTTTTTCTTGAATTTCATTTCATTCTTGCCAAACAAACAGCCTATTAGGTTCACTCCTATATTTTTATGATATGGATGGTGTGGTATGATTTCAAATTCTTGTATGATCGGTTCATGACCCTTCTAAATTTACATTCCTACTCTTTTTAAATTATTTTATCAATTTTTTAATAAATTTTATTTTTTTTGAAAGAAAAAAACTGCATAAACAATCTTTGATCTGTGATTTTCTTTGGATTTAAATGTTTCAACATGGTCTAAAACATGATTTTTTTTTTTTAGAATTCGTCATGTTAAACATAATTTTTTTTTGGATTTGGTATGTACTAAAACTTAAAATAATTAATTTATTCGTAATCTAACTTCTAATTTTAATATATATAAATTCTTTAGATTTCGTCATGTTAAACTTAATTTTTTTGGATTTCGGTATGTATTAAACTTAAAATATTAATTTAACCATAATCTAATTTCTAAACAACTAGAGATGATCCCGGAAGATTTTAAACACACCTGATAAAAAGTTAAAAGAGTAAATTATTGAAATCGTTCTTGTGGTTTGGTCAAAATTGCACGTTTGGTCCCTAATCTTTTTTTTGCACTCGGATCGTCCCTGTGGTTTGGTAAAATTGCATTTTTGGTCCCTAACTTTATGTATGTAAGGGACAAAAAATGCAACAAAATCAAATCACAGGGACGAAAACGCAACAAAATCAAACAACATGGACGATCCGAGTGCAAAAAAAAATTAGCGACCAAATGTGCAATTTTGACCAAATCACAGGACGATTTCAGTAATTTACTTAAAGTTAAAACCACCTACACAAAACCATTGAAAATAAATTCAATTAAAGTAATATTAAAAATGAAATGATTATATATATATATATATATATATATATATATATATATATATATATATATATATATATATATAATACTTTTAATATGAATATTAACCTTTGTTATTCATATATTCATTAGAATGTATTCTATTATAAATTTATATATGTGTGTTTTTGTAGTAATTTTAAATTTAAATTTTAACATTTGAATATTCATTTATTTATTGCTGAATAATGACATATACTTGTGAATACAAAATTCATTGCAAAATAATAACTTAAAAATAGTGTTTTTATATTTTCACACTATTTATAGGTTTTATCTGAACTATATATATATATATATATATATATATATATATATATATATATATATATATATATTGTTAAAGATTAAATGTGAATTTTAATTATAGTGTCAATGTATGACCAAATTATATCAATCAAATTAAAAGAATGGATGGTTAGGATCAACAATAACATTATTGAAACTAAATGGAAACAAAATAATTATTTTCTATATTGAAACCATCAAAAGGGTAAACTAGATATTTTGATGATAAACAAATTAGGAATGGAAAATTTTAAGGATATATGTTTGATTAATTTTTCTTATCACGTTTAAATCTATTTCAGTTTTAATTCTAATATGATTTTTAATGAATTTCAATTGCACAAAGCATTCTTATAGAAATGTAGTGTTTTAAAGAAAATGTAATGCGTTTAAAGAATATGCGATATTCAATTTTGATTTAAGTTTAATCGATTTCTTTTACATAGAGAATTTGTAACACTGATTTTTCAAACAAAAATTTTCAATTTTTATATAACATAATTCCACTAATATTCATAAAAACACCCATTTTACTTGTTCAATAAAACAGTACAAAATCCCAAGATCAACATGTGAAACTTCCAACGTGTGTGTACGGATCAAGCCGGCGCCTTCCCGCGGTCGTCACTAACACCTGAAACAAATAACATCAACACTGTAAGCACAAAGCTTAGTGAGTTCCCCAAAATACCACATAAAACACATATTAGCCACTCGAGGCTATAACTCTGTGGGTCCGTGCACCCAAACTCTGTGAACCCTCAGGTTCTAGCTCTGATAAACATGCACCACACAAATCACATATAAATCATGCAGTACAACACATAACATACATAGCATACAAATACTCTAACACATAACTCTGGTTACCTACTCAAGGTAAAGTATAGTGAGGAGACTCACCTCGTGTGTCTCGGTAACTCGTAACCCTGAAATCACTAAACACTCGATCCGCCGAGCTGTAGCCCCCTATAGCACAATACATCTCTAATTAATACTCTCCCAATCTAGAGTTGATCACACTATAACAAATCACTCTTGGTCAACGCTGGTCAACGGTCAACTTTGACCGGACTCGACGAGTGCACTATGGCGACTCGGCGAGTCCGTGCGCATGCACCAACTTCCCTGGAATCCTCCCTTGACACGTCGAGTATTTCCCCCAACTCGACGAGCTCCACCTGGCACGAGTTGTGGGGCCACCACGACTCAACTCGCCGAGTCTCAAGAACAACTCGGCGAGTCCAGTTTGACTTGGTCCACCTGTCCATCCTGACTCCCCCTTTGACCCACTGAGTTCACTCATCCCAACTCGGCGAGGCCACTCACTGAGTGGTCGTGCAACATTCAAGCTACTCGCCGAGTCTGTTCTTCGGACTCGGCGAGTCCATGCCATGCACTGACTCAATCTTGCTCAAAAGGCCAGATCCAGTCCACTAATCCATAGATCCAGTCCCCCCATGCTTATTTAGCACGTAAAGTCACAACCTTGATGCATAAATAACCTCTACATGATCACAAATGATGATTTTGACTCTATTACTTCAACACAAGGCCAAGGACTCCATTTTCACCCATAAAGCTTGATGAGTGAGCCCCTCTGGACCTCTATGGATCCAGATCCATGGTCTCAACTCAAAGAGGGGACAAAAGGGCACCAAATCACCCCATAAATGATCATTTAAGCCCTAACTTGCATCAAGTTTCACCAAACAGGAAATGGTCCGAAAATAATACCTCTAGAGTGATGATCCAAGCTCCAAATCCACGAAATAGCAACCTCTTTGCTTCCTCTTGCCTAGAGCCTCCTTCTTCTTGCTAAACAACACTCACAAGGTCAAGATTTGCTCTCAATCCTTCACCAAACGCTCAAGAACTCTATGGACACACTCTGGGGGTTGGATGAGTGCAAATGACGGCCATAAGGCCCTTTAAATAGGCCACAAACCCGGAGATTTAGGGTTTCACTACAAAGCGCAGACTCTCCGAGTCCATACCTTGGACTCGCCGAGTCCAAGCGCGCATCTTTGCTCAATCCCGCGTCTCTACTCGGCGAGTCTGAGCCCCGACTCGCCGAGTCCCTCTTACAAAATAACATAA